CTCTTTGTTTATTACTATAGCCATATTCACACATCTTACTGAGCCTTTGTTTCCGTATTTATGAAACATAATAATAACAATGCCTTGTGTAGCACTCAGGGAGGCTATGGAGGAGAATCCCAAGTATGAGCCCAACTTGGGCAATTTAGTGACTTAGGCAGACACTGTCTTAAAAAAATTTTTTTTAAAAGAGGGTTAGTGATGTAGCTCAGTGAAGACATACTGGGTTCAGTCTTTAGTAAAAAACACAATAAAAAATATTTATTTTTATGGGGACTATGAATTCAGTTACATACTACCTCACACTTACTGTCTAGAACAAAGTAAGGACTCTCTTTGTGACAGTTACTGACATCACTTTTCTAGCTCTACCATTTCTGCTTGTAGATTTCAATATCCATTCTCAGGAGAAAACTTAGTAAAGGAAAATCAGGTATTTCTGAATACTGAAACTATATGAAAGAGAAATTGACAGTCTTCTCTCCTTTTATGAAGTTCAGAAGATTTTATTCTTTTACTGAGCAACTACATCATAGCGTGGGTCTTTAGATTTTCAGTGTGTACTCTCCACCCATTCCATAGGCTGAACTTGTACAAAGCAAGTGTTGTAGTTTGAATCTAGGAAGTCCCCACGGCCCACATGTCGGAGTCTTGGTTCCCACATTGGGAGGTGGTGGAAACTCTAAGAGGCGGAATCTAGTGAGAGGTTTCAGATCATTAAAGTCATGCAGGAGCTCCAGTGGTGCAATCAGGTAGAGTGTGGTACTTAAATATTAAAGGCATGCTTCAAAGTGAATTGTGAGAGCTGGATCTGTTCCTATTTCCTGCTTTCACTTCCTGGTCATGAGATGTACATTAGTCAGGTTTTCCTCACTAGGACGAAATACCTGGCACCCACAGCTTAAAGGAGGAGATGGTTTATTTTGAATCCTACTCTCAGAGGTTTCAACAATGGTTGGGTGTCTTCATGGCAGAAACACCAAAGCAGAAGTGCACACTAGAAGAAAGCTGCTGAGACCAGGGTACCTGAGAAGGAGAGAGTAGGGGAAGATCCCAAGAGCAAGGGGTCCAGGGACCAGATAAACTCCTAATGCCTTGCCCACGTGACCCACCCAGACACACCCTGAAGATGCTTTACTAATCTCCCATGGCTATGTCAAGCCAATCAAGTTGACAGTGAAGATTAATCACCCCAGGGTGAATGGCTCTGCTCTGCCCTGCACTCTTGTCTTTATGTACATACCTTCTCAAGCAGTGGGGCCAACCACCCATGGACTGGAACCTTGAAAACTGTCAGTCAAGATAACTATTTTATTTATTTATTTATTCATTTATTTATTTTTGAGGCAGGATCTCACTCTGTAATTCAGGCTGGCCTTTATCTTACTATGTAATCCAGGCTGGTCTCCAACTCCTAGCAGTCCTCATGCTTCAGCCTCTCCAGTGCTGGGATTACAGGCCTGGCCACCACACCTGGCTCAAATATTTTCTTTTTATGTTGATTATCTCAGTGCTTGTGATAGTGTCAGAAAGCTCACCAGTAACAAAATCCCAGCAAAATAGCAACAGGAACCAGATCATTTCACCCGTATTTACTGATGTCACCACACAAATTTTCTTCTTCATATCTATATGTAATACTTACATGTATATATGAATATATATGTGCAATACTACAATAAGAAAAGTACAGTAAGAACCAAAAAGTACACCTTCTCTGCTTGTAGGTGCACAGGTGTCTGAAATCATTAAAAAGAATCAGACAGACCCTTTTTTGATCCAATACAGTATTGTCTTGGTTACTTTTTTCTTGTTGCTGGGACAAAATACCTGACGCCCAAAATTAAGGAAGGAAAGGTTTATTTTGCTTACAGTTCATGGAGGTTTCAGTCCATACTTGGCAGATTACAAAGCAGACTGGCACATGGCAAAGAGCTACAGCTCAGGGTGCAGAACACAGCAAAAGCAACAACCACACACCAGGGCGGAATGGGGGAGGCATAGCCTCAAGCAGCTTCTTCCTCTACCTTACATATGCAAACTATCCACCCCAGGGTGGGTATAGCTCTCTCACCCACAATTATTCAACTCTAAAAGCCTGCCCCGTGACCACATGAGGCTTTGGAGGGGACACACAGACATAACCATAACAAGTATGATTATTTTACTTGTAAATTATACATTTAAAAATCATCTGACAAGGTCACTTTTGATGACTGTTCTCCTAGTTTATCAGCAAATTCCATAAATATTCCTAAAAAAGAAAAGAGAGAAGAATGAGAGGTAGTAATGAGCTATGATTTAGACTGAATGGGGCTATTAGTGTGCTCACAAAAAGGTCTTGTAATGATTGAACCAAATTTTTCAACTTCAGATTTTCCTATTTCAGAAAGAAGTAAGATCTAAGACTCTCATAATAGTTCATCATTGACAAGAAATTTATGCATAATTATCTCTGGATTTCCCAACAAATTGATTGGCTGGATGTCTCTTTAGACATAAATTCCTTAAAGACATGTTCTGGTATATTTGTTAGTTGACATATCCCCAGCACCTACAACAATGCCTGACATACAGTGTGAGTTAATAAATATTTGAAGAAAAAATATTTATTATATCTTTTTATATGTGATAAAACTCTGAACCTCAAAAAGATCAAACTATTCCTCCAACACTAAGTGAACTTTACACTTTAGATCTCCAGAGATATTATGAAATTCTCACATTTTATACTATACTCTGTTGCTTAAAGATTGAGTAGCAAGGTACTTTCTGAGAAGGTAAAAGATGACCAATGTATGGTTTGTGAAGAGATAATAGAGCCAGTAGAGAAAACAAACACAATTAATTTGAAATAATATGAAAATAAAACTATTATGAAGCTCCCTAAAAAAGCATTATATATATTAGAATATAAAAAACTAAATTTTGTAATTGTGAAGGTCTATGACTTCCACATAGATCTTCATACATAGATCATACATAGATCTTATTTTTACATTAGACTTTAGAAAATCATTTAGACTTGAAAGATAAGCAGAATAGTATTAGAATTTGGGGGTAGTCATTGCTGGCAGAGTGGATAAAAGCGTGTGCAAAACTATCTGTGGTTTATACAAGCATAATCTTCCCTGAAAACAAAAATCACCTGTCACCAGACATCAGATGTTGGTTACAGGAGTAAGAAATGTGACTGAAAAACATCAGCATCAGGGAAAGAGATTTACCATCAGCTTAATGTATTTATTCTAGTTTGCAAGCAATAGAAATTCATAAAAGAGTTTTTCAAATATGGAAGCAATAAGAATAATTTTTTTATTTTTGAAGAAATGCTTAAAGATTTGCCAAAATTCTGAATGAGACAAATGTGCAATGCAAGAAAGAGGCACGAATGGAAGTGGTAAATAAAACAATGGGCAAGATATGCATAGATTAAAATATGTGTCAGATTCTGGCTTATATCCTGCCACTAGATGCAGCTGTAAAATTTAAATACATCAACTCACTTGTTACTTTAAAGCCAGCCATAAGTTGTGGCTTAATTTTTACTTGTCATTTATGAATAGGATTTTGATATGTGTACAAAGTATTAATTTACTATGGTCTCTGCAGTCAAACCTCTCTGTTAGTGTGAATCTCTATGTGCAGTCTCTCCCCAGTACTAGCATCACCACCTCAGTTCCACCTCAGATCATCAGGCACTAGATTCTCATAAGGAGAACACAAACTAGATCTCTGGCAAGCGTAGGTCACAATAGGATTCATGTTCCTATGAGAATCTAAGACTACTGCTGATCTGACAGGATGTAGAGCTCAGGGGTAATGCAAGTGATGGAGAATGATTATTAGTACAGATGAAGTTTTGCTCACTCACCCTCCACTTACTTTCTGCTGTGCGATCTGATCCCTCACAGTCTACATACCTGTACCACTCTGTCTCCCGGGGGCTGTGGACACCTACCTTAGAGAACAAAAGCAAATACAATAGGAAATACAACAATAAAAGAGGAAAACAGCTATGAATTTTAGTAATTTGTGGAGAAACATGATCTGTAGCACCATGCCCAGCCAAATATGTTGATTTAAGCAGATCAGAGATTACAAGAAGACCCCCCAATTATTCTACATAGAAATGGTTCTTTACATATTCGTTATGTTTGAGAATCTAATAGAAGTCATGAACCTTTTCTTTTTGAAAATACAAGAATTTGCATCTAAATAAAGTATGAGTGAAAAATCTAACAGCTGTGGGAAATTGTAAGGCCCAAGTATGCAGCCCAGAAATCAGAATGACTTTTATATCAGACCACTTGGCTTGCTTATTTACAAATAAAAGGCATACCTTTAGCCTTGCCTTCATATCAGTGTAACATGGAATATAGGAATATTATATTTAAAAAAATAAACTACATTGGATCCTGCAGCAGGTGGGTAATAGACCACATTTTGTCAAACTCTGGTTATGCAGGACAGGACTAAAGAGCAGCAGCATAGAGAAGCAGAGACGGAAACTATATGGAACTTCAGGAGAGGGAGTTTTATCTTGGAGAGCTGAAGGAGGAGGGATTGACATCAGGAGGGTGAAGTAGCAGTATAAAATAAAAGCTGTGTAGGTTGAAATCAGTTGTATTAGGAATTAGGCCCATGGTCTTAGAGATAGGATGAAAACATCAGAAAGACTCTGAGGTGGGTAATTGTTCATAAGGTAATCCATCCTGACCAAAACTAACAGGCTGAGAGATACTGAGAGATTCTCTCAGGAGAGATTATCTGCTGTCTCTGTCACTCCTCAAACTACTCCAGCTATAATATAAACTCAAGACTCATAATATCTGTCACTAATGAACACAGCACTACCCTTTGCAATGTAGCACCAAGGTCAGGACCAGAAATTGGCTTTCTATTCCCTCATCCAGGGCTCATCATTTTCCCTATTTGGTCTTAAGTGGGGGCGGATATATGTAGGACAATATTTTTCAGGGTACAATAATGCATTGATGTGTAGTATAAATTTCCTTTTTTATTTATTTTGACACAATATGGTCATTATTATCAGGAAACAGGACGAAGGCAAGGTTCGTCTCGGTGCTTACGATCCCCTGGTCATGGAGCGAAGGATGAAATCAACTGCATTCTCAATGATCTCTGTTCCCAGGAGATTCAGAAATTTGGGGATGTCTGTGACTGGCTTTGTTTCTGAATCATCTGGTTTCGGATCTGAGTTTTCCTGTGGTTTGTCTTCTGAAAGAGAAAACAGAAGCTCAGAGGTGATTCGTAGAAGTAAGAAAGGGGGGCTAGGGATGTGGTTCAGTGGCAGAGCACTCGCCTAGTATGCACAAGGCTCTGGGTTCAAACCCCAACACTGAAAAGGAAAAAAAAAGAAAAAGAAAAGAAATAAGAACGGGACATCTCAGCAGGCCATGGTTTCACACACCTGTAATCCCAGCATTCAGGGGCTAAGGTAGGAGAATCGAGAGTTCAAGCCCAGTTTGGGCAACTTAGTGAGACCCTCCCAAAATATACGAAAAAAGATCTCTTTTTCCGTACAGGGAGCCCTTAAATATTTCATACCTGCTTAGTTACATTTTTCACATGCATTATTTCATTTATTACAAAAACAAAGATTGACAATTAACTGAATATCGGTTTTATTTTGTGGATAAGAAAACTGAAGCTTGCAGAAATACCTCTCCCAGAGTTAAGCAACTAGTAAATGCCAGACCTAGGGCTGAAATATAGAAGAGTGACTATGTTCCCTGCAATCCTCTTGCCTATAGCAAAGTGATGGTGGAGATGAAATATCAATGACTAACACTTCTTGAGCACATGACTATGACAATCTACGTGCATTGTCTCATTTTATCTTCCCAAAACTCCATGAAGTGGGAAGAGTTATTACCCAATTTAAAGTCAGAGAGATGGAATTGAAGAAAGGTTTACAAAACTGATTCAAAGACACCGAGCTAGGGAGTGGTAGAAATACCATTCAAACCCATGTGTGTCTGATGCTAAATTGTGGATTTTCAAACACTCTGTAATGAATATTCACTCTCTGACAAAAAAGTTACACAATCTTTATTTGAAATAATATTATTTTTATTTTGAAAGCGGTGTAACAATAATGATGAAAAAGAAATTCTATCACTTGTATATGATCTGTTACGTAGGTAATTATTTTATAAGTATTATGTAATTTTACCCTTGGCCAATCTTATGGGTACATTATTTTTTTTGTTTTGTTTTGTTTTGTTTTGTTTTAATTTTTCTCCAGTACTGGGAACCGAACTCACGACCTTGACCTTGCCAGGCAGGCGCTTTGCCACTGAGCTAAATCCCCAGCCCCCATGGGTTCATTATTTAGCTCACGGGGGGCTGAGAAACTGAAAAGATTCGGGACTTGTGGAAGACCTTACCAAGAACAAGAGAAGAAGATGCAACCATAACTTCAGGCCTGTCATGGTTGGCCCCTAAACAAGTACCCTTTGGACTGAGTGCCAAGAATCCAGGGAATGAGGCTCGTTCCAAGAAGACCCCCTGGGGTCTTTTGGCATTGTTTGGTGGTCTTTATTTTGGGGAGGTAAGAACTAATGGAAGGATGACTACAGCTACAGTGTGTGCAGAGGCTGGTGACAGAATGAAATAGGACCTTTATCTTTTAATTGCATTGCAGCCTGACAAGCCATGTGAACAGAGATGACACAAAAATACAGTGCTAAGTAAAATTTAAATTTGTGGTCAACAACAAATACCTTTCCAGTATGAAAGTGACTCATGCAATATTTAAGGATGATGAAATGTGTCTTATTTTATCTAGCCACTCTCTAACTAGTTTTGACTCATGAAATTCCAATTTCTAGAAAATAGTGTCCATTACTTTAGATAAAGGGTGAATAACTAGCTTTTGGTGAAGGCTGTCAGATTGTGACCAAGTATTTGTATTGGTATAATATCCTGAAATAGAAACTATTCATGAAATTACTGGCATTCAAATCTATAAACATTTACTGTTTGCGATGCCATAACCAAAGATTTGATAGGAGCTCCAATCTGGGCCTTATAACAAAAATGTATGTACTAATTATCAAGTGTTCATCATTCAGCCATTCTTTTTTTTATTCAGAAAGGATTTTTCTAAGGTCAACATTATGTGCACAGTGCTTTTACCTAAGAGTTAAGTTTAAAAAAAGGATAAATATACACACGCACCTTATTTAAATGGAGGGCAAACTTATGCCCAGACCTGGTTTGTGTTCATCATAAGGAGAAGAAAACAGAACTTTTGTGGAATGCCAATTGTATGGGATAGAATTTTCTTGACATGCCTTGATCTGCATTCAGCTCAGCAATGGTATCACAGTTTTACAGATGCTCAGGGTGATGATATGATTTACTTAAATCATTCACCTAGAAAGAGGCCAAGCCAGATTTTGAATGTGAATACTTTTAAGAGCGTGTTATGCACATTATAGAATTCTACCTTGAAGCAATCGTCCTCTGAATAAATTTGCCAAGTGCAAAGCAATGATTCCTTAGCCGAAAGGTGAGTTTTTCCTCCCCTTTAATACTGTGTATCTACTCTCATAACAGTTGAACTTGTTTGACTTACTTTACTATGAAATGAATACTAGCTTTTCAGTATGCAAGGAGCCTAAATTGGAATGTGTGAAGACCAGAATCTTGACCTCAGTCTTTGAGCTTCAGACATCCTGGGAAATATTAGGGTGTGGAGCATCATAGGGTTTGGAACATTCCAACCTGAGTTTGTTTTCTGTCTTCAGCAATGCATCAGCCATGTTACCTTGGACATAGTGTTTGAGCACTGTGTCTTCTCATTGTGCTGTCAGGACTAAGAGATGTTTTATATATCTTTCCTATAGATATCATATGTGTATGCACATTTATCTGTATATTTGTATAATACATATACCACTAACCACAGTAATAGGCCCAAGGTAAGGTCATTATAAATATTTACTGTGTTATTTTATTATCATTAGGAACAAAATGATTTCTGATTCTTTCTTCTCTAGCACTTCAAGAGGTTATGAAAATTTAAAATTACTATTCAAATATCAAGAAATGTCATAAACAGATCATCAAAGTACATGATTGAATATTTTCTCTTTTCAGATATAATCTAAAAAATCCCTTATTTGCATTAACTACCTGGTTGGATTTCTTAATTAATATGATTATAAATTTTTGAACAAATATAGCATTGTGGCTATTTGTATAGTTTTTACAGTTCATGCCGTGATGATAAAAGCATGTTATTTTACCTGATAAGGTTGATAGTTATTTGATTTTATAGGTGAAGAAACTGAAGTTCAAAATGGTGAAATGATTTCACCACTGTTGCATAGTTCATGAAAGAAGAAACTACAACTGATCTTGGTGACACAAATCTCACCTTTCACTTCTCCGTGTTGGCTACCATAGCAATAGAATGTATGTCCCCAGCTAGAGTAATTCTGCTGTAATGTCTCTGTGTTATGCTAATAGTTAGTGAGTTGCTTGGGGGTGTGAGTTCTACCAAGTTGCCTTCAAAGGAGTCTACTAAATACTTGTACTACTGAGAGACAGGTCAAGAGCCGCCAGTCTCTGGTAGGCAAAAATTAATTAATTAATGACCACATTGCATGCTACCTTGTTGTCCTTACAATGCTTGAATGAGATATTAATTATGAGGGAAAGAATCTAGGAACTCAGGTTTTACTACCAGATGCCTCTTTCATCTGCATCTATGTTCAAGTTTACTTTCCTTCTGCAAGATCAGTTTATTAAGCTGTAAGAAGTAAAAGATAAAAAAAATTTATGAATTATGAAAAATAGTCAATTACAATGACTCATGATTTCCATGCATGGCAGTGCACACTTGTAATCCTAGCACTTGATATACTTAGGTAAAAAAATCACTGTGAGTTTGAGGCCAACCTGGACTACATAATGAGTTCAAGATCAGCCTGAACTATGTAGTGATACTCTGTCTCAAAAAGCAACCAAAATAATTACACATGATAATAGAACAGTTAATATTTATTGGGTGCTTATTATTGACCACACACTATTCCAATACATTGTCTTTTAAACCTAATTTTCTTGATAACTTTATGAGAAAATAAACACTATTAATGTTCCCTTGTATGTATGATGTTCAGAAAGATTAAATAGTAAGATTAAAGTCACATTTCTTGTGAGAGGGAGAGTCATCCTTATTTCAGAATATGCATTTCTCACCATTGAACATTATTAGTTATAATCATAAAAAATACCTCCCACCCCAAGCCAGATGTGATGGGCAGGCCTGTAATTCCAGCATTTGGGAGATTGAGGCAGGAGGACTGCTGCGAGTTCAAGACCAAGCTGAGGCTACATAGTGAGACCCTGTCTCAATGAAACAAATTAAAACAAACAAGCAAATAAACAAACAAACCTTCCAGCTTTCAAGCAATTTATAATTATTGTCATTGTACATGTGATTATATTTTAAAAATTCATTGCAAACTTCATACTTTTACTGAAGATGGAAACTTTTGCAGGAGTAGAGGATAGTAAAAACCCTGTCTTTGCTGAAAGACATGCCTCCTGTCTCCTAGTCTAAGGCTCCTTCTCTAGCACCCAAGGGCTCTTCCCCCTATATATTCTGGATCACTGCCATATTTCTCCAATTCCTGCTCACTACTGCATAGTTCATGGCTGTGACCCGCAGCACTTACCTGCATAGCAGGTCAGTATTAAGACAAGAAGTCCCAGTATGATTGTACATCGACGTACTGAGACAGCCATCCTTGTGGTACTGTGTACGGATGCAGATAAATAGCTCAGATGCACTGGAGCTTTGCTTCATTTATAGGGCATACATAGGTGACGTCATCTGCTGTGGAATTTAGGTTGTTGAACAAGATCTCTGAAGTTTACCCTGGGATCGCTACTATTGAGCCCTGCCCTGTCTTTCAAAACCTAGAGGTTTTTAATAAGGAAAGAAAAGCTCTCTTGGTTTTTCTAATGTACTGTATATCTATAAAGCCTAATGTACTGTTTATCTATAAAGAACAAGCAAGTGGACTTTCCAGTGTCAGCATGGATAATTAGATGGATATGAGGCAGAGTTACTATTCAGCCTTGAGCAACAACCACAGATCAGATTGAAAATGTGCCTCCTCTCCTCCCTATGACTGGCTTCTTTTCTCATGTGCTAGGATAAACCCATCACCCTTCCACATACTGTGCTTTCCTTTGCTTCTGTTCTGTCTGGGTCATCTTCCCTATTATTTCCCCTTGGAGGGTTTCTGCTTGTTCCTTGGACTGAGGTTTAGTGGAGCCTTCACGACAAGTTTTAGCCCTACTCCAGACAGGGTTTATTCCTTCCTCATCTGCAGTACAGAATCCTTGACCCCAGTGTTTGAAAGCTAGACATTTTAGTAAATGTCTTTTTCAGCCTGAGGATGGATCTACCTGTCTTATCTATCTATAAGAATTATCAATAAAGGTAAATACACAACTATATATTTATGGTGTACAACATGATGTACTAAAATGTGTATACACAGTTAATGACTAAATCAAGCCAATTAATGTATGTGTTGCCTCACATGCAATTAATCAGTGGTGGGATACATTTAAAATCTACTGTTAGTAATTTTCAGACATATGATACATTGTTATTAACCATAGTCAATCACCATGTTGGACAATAGATCCTCTGAATTTATTCCCCCTGTCAGTGATATTTTTATATTCTTCAGCCAATATGTCTCCAGTCCTTCCTCCTAGCCCTTGGTAACTGTCATTCTACTCTCTGCTTTTGTGAGTTCACCAAATTTAGATTTCTGTACAAGTAAAATCATATGGTATTTGGCCTTCTGAATTTAGCATATTTTACTAACATAAGGTCCTCCACGTTAATCCATGTTATCACCAATAACAGACTTACTTTCTTTTCAAGGTTGAATAGTAGTCCACTGTGTTTATGAACCAAACCTCTTTATTCCATCCATCTGTTGATGAAGACTTAGGTTGCATTCTAGCCTGCAGATCTCTTGCGAGAAGAGTATTTTATTGTTTCTGAACCTCAAGGAGTCAAATGATTGGCACTGGTTTCAGCTTTCATTTCACTTCTTTTGGAGACTTGTCTGATTCTTCCAAGTAAAAACAAATGGCCCTTGGATGTGTAAATTAGGTACTCATTTAAGTGTCTCCACCAAGAGTCTGTAGGCTTGTTAGAAGAAAGACTATATTTTTAGAGTTGAATATTTATTCTTCTAGACTTATAACAAATAGAGAGAGATATGTGGGGAGAGGGGAAGGGGAGGGAAGGAGACAGAAATGAAGGAAGGAAAAGAAAAAGAAGAAAAGCTTGGGAGCTGAGTCCAGTCTTTCCCCTCCACTGCAAGGATCCACTTGCAATGGTCCCTATAGCTATACTTTACCATGAACTCATTTTAATAAAGTCTGCTTTACCATATTTCAAAAGGGAAAGGAAAAATAACTAATTGGATTAAATAATTTGCATTTGATGGAACAAAATGTTAGCATGGAGATCCTGTCTTGTACTACAGACACAACATGCCCTTCCTTTTGGATATAAGCACTCAGGGGTCTAAAACTTGGCTCAAATCTAGATGACACCAGTTATCCTGGGGAAGCTGTATGTTCAGTTAATCGGGATGAGGACTTACAAGGACTAAAACATATGCTGGATGTCAGCAGGCCATTTTGTGAATAGGAAAATTAATGAACATGTGGAAAAAGAAGACCTGTTCAGTGTCTCAGAGCCAAGGTTAGGACAAAGCCTATTCCCCAATAGTTGGACTTTTGCTCTTTGTTGAAAGCAATCAGGGAGCTATACTTGCTAGACCTCTCCAATCCATTTCTTCAAAAAGACTCTGGTTATCTGTCCTCTGTACCAAAAGTTGTCAGCCACATTAGGAAACTTTCAGCAATTTGGATTTGTTTCACCAGGGCCAGTTGAGCACTGCGCTTGCCCATTGGATTATAGGAGCAACAACATTCAAGTGTCTCTAAGAATCATATTGCAGATTCTGTTATATAGCTGGGGTTGCCTAGAAAGGATAATACCTGATTATATTTCAGGTGGGGGCATGTTTTTCCAACTCATTACAGGAACACTACACAGAGCAGCAAAAGCTTTGCAGCTTAGGACAAAATTCTGCTGGTTTCCTGAGCCATTTGTATAGCCATACAAATTCCTGATTCAGCAAATGCTTTCGGTGGTCAGGTGTCAAAATAGGGGTCAAGTGTCAAAATAGCATTACCCTGAGCATCAGGATAACTACCTTCACTTTGTGTAAGAACCACTAATTCAGTGAGTGAGTCTGGTAAAACGACTATAGGTAATGAGCCTCCATTTTCATTGCCTGATGTTCTTGTCCCCTTGCTTGGTTTGTCCTTGCTAGCCTCAGTTCTTGGCCCAAATGTCTATTTTTTGAGTGAACTGTTCTGTGATCCATAACCTAACTCAGATTCCTCTATTATACTCTTTTACAAACTCTGTATCATTTCTTCTTAGTTCTTGAAGATTTTTTCCTTTAATATTTTAATGTGTCTTTGCCCAAGAGTTACCAAAATCCAAGACGGAAGGATTTTGTTCAGGGAAACAGCTTTGTTTTTTAGTCTTGTATTTAGAAAATATCCAAGCAATGTGCATTGAAGAAATGAATTACTGAATATTTTTGAGAAGAGAACCCTAGACTCCTCTAATGGTTCTATCTGCTAATGTTTGTAAGTCTGTCAAATTGTGGCTGCTACTCCAAGCCTCAATGTCTTCACCTGTAAAGTTGGGACTTACAGTAATACAATTTCTTGCCTGTCTATCTACTCTAACAATGATGAAATACCTGATAATCTGTAAATAACCTTTCCTATGTGCCATGTTCATAACAATTAAGGAGCTGTGGTTTATCTTTTACAGGTGAAAAATGAATTTCACTTTTCTTGGGATTATGAAAGGAGATTGTATTCAGTCTGGGAAGAGAACGCTGAGAGCCTTCTTCCAGAACAGCACTCTAATATATAAAGAGTTATGTAAATGAAAATATTGCTTTAATTTATGTGGATATATTCATCCTTAATTGAAACTCGTTAATTGTTTTTCCCCAATTGCAATTCGGTTTGCATCTTCATGGAGAGATTTCAGTGTAGGTACTAGTAGTTAAAAGGAGAGGCTTTGAGGTCTTACAAAACTAAATTTGAGTTTTATATCAACCACTTGCAAACTGTGCTAAATCTGTGAGCTTAAAACATTTCCTGATTTTTCAGTACCCTGGATCCAATGTCTATAACATAGGAGTAATAATAACTCTTGTGGTTTTTATGTAGACTGGATGAGAAAATATGTACAAACAGCACAGTGTCTTTTACATAATGATAGACATATTGTTCTTCTATTCTATTCTGTGTAGTCTATTCTATTCTGTGTAGTCTTCTCTATTCTAATTGATCTATTCCACTCTAAGCTGGGTTGGCCTCAAGAAGGGAGTGACGCCCATGCAAATAGCATTACAACTAAAAATAACAATCACAAAACAATTTGCCTACTCTAGGCAGGTGCCAAACTAGATACAGCATATTAACAAAGCTACTGGGAGTCTACCATTATTATCCTCATTTTAGGTAATGAACTTCAAGCTTGGAAAATTTGTCTATGGTTACCAAACATGTATGAGCCAGAGTAGGAAACTGGACCCAAGAAGATATGAAGCCAAAGTTTCTGCTCTTAACTAATGCTTTGTTGCCCTGGCAAGTAATGGGTGCTACTGGCAAACTGCCTGGGTGACAAAGCAGCCCTGTAGTCCCAGGCTGTTTGTCCACATCTGTATCTCTCATTTTCTCATGGGCCTCTCAATTTCCCATTGGCCTCTGAATGGCATTCTGGTCCACTCTATTCATCTATTTTAGTGCAGTTTATTGTACCAAACATGCAGGATACACTCCTCCTTGTTTAACTCTTGCCAGAAAGTGAACTAGGAAAAATGTTGCAGGATAAAATATAGACTTCATTAAATTTGAATTGCATATAAACAATGAGTAATTTTCAGTGTAAGCACCTCCCAAATACATCATAATATATACTTAAAAATTTTTGTTGTTGAGTTGAAATTTTTAGTTTTTGTTTGGCTATTCTTTTATCAGCTGAAGTTTAAATTTAACTGGGCATCCTGTCATTTTATTTGCAGAATCTGACAACTTTACCCACAGAGTCTGCGTAAATGTTTTCTTATATGAGAAGGGAACTGAGGGAGTCAAAGATATGATTAAAGATTAGTATTTGAGAAGTTCAATTCATAAACAGAAATTGCACGTTATTAAAAGACTCTAGTTCCTCTTCGGCATGACGTCTGGAATGTCTCGTGCTGGATCGTCCCTAGTGAAGAAATCTTTCAATATGTTTGTCCTTTGTGTGCCTTATGAAGAAACCACAAGCTTCTCTCCTACCTTGGTTCATTCCAGCTGAAGTTTGGACCAGCCCTGAGAGAATACACCATGCGTTCTGACAGGAATGCCATTCCTATGATGCTCGTCTGCGAAGGAGTGGCTGTATTCCGTCACCTTAAGACCTCTCTGTGTGTAGTTTGTCACTTAGCCAAATCTTACACTTCAGGTCTTCTTTTATCAGTGACCATTTATTGAGCTTGTGCTCCTTACCAGGAACTCTGATAGACACTGTGAACAAGAAAATAATGCCAGTCCCTGACCTGTCCTTCATCAAGCATGCAAACCTGTGAACTTTAAATATAAAAAATGTTAATGAAGATGTGAACAGATTCCTATAGGAGACAATAGGGAGTGGTTAACATTGCCTGGAGGACAGGGTCAGGGAGGTTTCATATACTTGGGCCTTGGAAGGTAATTGTGTAGGTGTTTGCTATGCAAGCAGGTGTGCAGAAGATGCTTCAGGTAGGAGCAATGACATTGGCAAAAGTGCAGAAGTGTGAAAGAGCATCACATATCTCCAGGAATGAACTGTCAAATCCTGAGTGTTCACCTTAGAAGTAAAAATTAAAGTGAGGAAACTGAATCTTAAAATTTGCTTTCATAAGTGTTTAAGTTAGGAAAAGAAAATAGAAGAAAAAGACAGAGAAGGAACAGAATATATTTTGGGATGGGTAGTAAAACAAAATTTAGTAAGTATTGAAACCCATTGTCAGCAATTTGTCTCAGTTCTTACTTCTCTAATCAGAATTTCAGGTGAAGACATACCAGTCCATTCAACTACCTGTTAAAAATGTAAGTTTTCTCTAACTCTCTCTTAACACATAACCAGTTTTCTAGTGAAATCCTTTCAATTCTTCTCTCAAATGTTCTTGAAAGTTATCAACTTGCCGGCTGTGGTGGTGCATACCTGTAACTCCAGCACTCAGAGTCTAAGGCAGGTGGATCATCACAAGTTTGAGGCCAACCTGGGTTACATAGGGAGACTCTGTCTTTAAAAACAAATTTAAAAAGTTGTCAACTTAACTTATGCAATAATTATCATAGATAGGAACTTTATCCGGGCCACTGTAACAGCAGCTTAGTCTTCCTAATTTTTCTCTCCACATTTCAAGTTATTCTCCACGTGGCAGCCATTTTTATTTTTCTAAAGCTGCCATTTTCTATCTCTAGTTATTCCCATGGTTCTGTACTGCTATGGCTAAGGCTTTTCATATTTATTAACAGTCACTGTCTGCAGCTTTGTCTCAGGAATAGTATAACATAATTATTTGAGCACAGGGCAAATGAGGTGCATGTGTTTCTGACAAGTCCAGGAAGCTGCACCTAGCTGTTTGGATCCAGACCCCTATGCTGTGTTGGTGTCTCTGTCATAGCTGTACAATAGTTCAAAATCTTGTCCGTTACTGAGTACTTTATTTGACCATTTCCTAGTATTCTCTGTAAGGAAAGGCAGTGTCTAGGCAGGAGAAAGATAGGGTTTGTTAAAAATTAATAGGGAAACTTAATAAAAGCAGTTTCTGCCTCCACGGGTAGACTTGACAGAGAAATTAGAAAGACAAAGGAGACAGAGAACTGGACTGAGAGAGGACCAGGTAATACAATTCCAATTGTGAGAACAATTTATTAAGAAGAGTTAACAAAAAGCAAGGAAGCCAGAAACATTAAAGACCAGGGAAATCAGCTACCTTCATCCATCTGATAAAATACAAAGGAGAAAAGGGGCAGCCACCTGAGGACTCTTATTTAGTATGTAATACATGCATACTTACCTGAGCACTCAGACACACACATGTATGCACATGTATGTATGTTCTCACTTTTACATGTTATATTATTGCACCAGATACACACAGGTTCTCTTTACCTAATCATTAAGTATAAACTAACCTTCCTTAGCTCCTGTCCATCTTATCCATCACAAAGGGACAGGAAGAAACCAAAACGCTAGAAAGAAGGTAGGCAGAGGTGCCCAGGTTAGGATCAAAGGTAGCCAGAGAGCCAATCAGATGGTGACAACTTCCAGGTGCCCACATGAGAGATAAGAAAATCACTAGTCCTAAATAGAAGGTACCAGGGATGAGAGCTCCTGGGTATTCACCTCTGAGGCCCTTTACTCCCCCAGGGTAACTATTTGTCTTCTTCTCTTCTTTTTCCAAATAGACATTTTCTCTTGTTTTACACTGTTCTGTAATGAGCAGAAACTGGCAGTTTATGATCCTGGTAGTTGTGTGTTCCAGACAAGGAGTGGTGCATACATTCCAGCCTGCCGCAGCAGTCTCTAAACTTCAGTCCTCCATCTTCAATAAGAAGATAAGTGGTGTGTCAATGTCATAAAGATTTTATGAGTGGAAATGAGATTATGCTATAAAGAGTTCACCACCATGTGTTTCTAGTTAATGCTGACTCTGCATTGTAACCTCCCACTGCCATGACATTTCCCATATTACCTCACCAGACACACTTCTAAACCTTTGCTTGTTCTATCATCCTGTTTGTTCTGCTTGCAGTTCTGCCGCCATCAATTCATTGTTCAAATATTGCACCTCTCAGGAAGACATCATGACCACATCACTGATCTAATCCATGGCGGACTTAATCACTTCTCCGTGGGCTCACTCCGCACACACCTCTATTATCCCATGCATTGTACTGAATCATAAGTTATTGTTTATATAATTGCCGCCTCTGCTAAGCTTCAACCTTCTCAGTACTGAGTCATAGCTGATTTATCCTCAAATACCTTTGGCTTACAATTGTGATTGGCAAAAAGAGAGTGTTGAATAAATGCAAGGAGTGTTCCTTGGGGATTTTATTAAGAGTCTGAATGAACAATTGGGGTCAGTGGTGGAGCCGATTCTAGAGTCTTCCTGAAAAAGGAGCCAAAGCACAAGACAAGGACCTAGTGTGAACAGGGAAAACAGTTAAGAGTTTAATGGATTTTGTTTGCTAGCAGCTGGAACTATGGCTAGGGGTGGAGGCAGCATTGCATAACTGATACTTCGCTATGCCTCACTTGGACACATGGGATGGAAAGAAAGGTGTGTGTGTGTGTACATGTGTGTGTGTCTCTCTCTATATGCATTCTTTATATATATATATCTCAGTATATATATATTGGACTAAAAGTACACAAAAAGTATAAGAAACAGAAGAAATATACTTAACAGCACTGAAGATTTTAATATAAGAATATTAATAAATACATTAAATTGATACAACCTAAAAACAAAACACAATCTAAAAACTGAAATCCCTTTTAAATGTAAAAAGAAAATATGCCATATATACAAAATGGAATATCATTCACTCACAAAGAAGGATGAAATCGTGTTATTTGCAACAAAGTAGATGGAAGACACATTAAGTAAAATGAGTCAGATATGAAAAGATACATGTCGCTTTTTTTCTCAAGTACAGAAGCTAAAATAAATGGGAGGGGAAATAAGGGTGGGAAGAGGGAGAAGGGAAAAGGAAAAAAAGAGAGAATGAAAGGAAAAATTAGAAATAAAACTTTCATAAAGAAGGGAAGTAGTCTTGAAGGAGGGAAGGAAAATGAGAAAAAGCAGAAGAATCAAGATATGTACAGCTACAAATTCCCTTTGATGAATGTGATGATTATATAAATCAAAAGAGTACCAATGAAGTTAATTAAAAATGCATAAATAAATAAATAACTCAAGGGAAAGAGAAAAAGAGTTAAGGGAAGGGAGAGTAAAAGACAAGATAGATTTGATTGAAGCATAATGTGTGTTTGTATGAAAATGTCACTGTAGGATCTTTAAATGTATACAATTGATATGTGTTAATAATATGTGCTTTAAAAAGTAAACGTACATATTTACTTATTTATATATATTTTAGTTACATCAATACATGGCAAATAAATAAATAAGGATAAGACTAAATGATTGCAGAAAGATAGTTATGCTGTGACTGTATTTATCTCTAACAATATCCCTTGTTCTGAAAACTATTGATCCTGATATAAAAATAAACAGTCCAGGTTTTTTATGGTGTGTGTTTGAGGCTGTATCTTGCTGCAATCATTTAGTCTTACAATGTTTTCAAGGTTCTTCTGTGTTGCACTATGTACCAGAACTTCATTCCTTTTCATTGCTGAGTAATGTTTCAATGTGTTGGCATACTGTATCTCACTTACTCATTTATAAGTTGATAACCATTTGGATTCTTTCCATTACTTGGATATTATTGAAAACACTGCTAAGAATATCCTTGTATGAAGGCTTGTATGAATGTATGTTTTCATTTTTCCCCAACGTACCTGTAGGAATGGAATTGTTGGTTCATATGATAACTCATTTTAATCTTATAAAGACTGTCAGGTTCTTGTAAAACAGCTACACCATTTTGAATTCCCTCTAGCAATTTGTGAGGGTTCTCATTTTTCTACACTGTAATCTGTACTTTTAATTGTGTCTTTTTAAATTTGAACTATTCTGATTGGTATGAAGTAATGGATAATTTTGATTCTGATTTACATTTTCTTAGTGGCTAGTGATACTAATCACATTTCTTTTCACTTGCTGGTCCAATCTTTATTTTTAAGCCAATAGTATGCCAATAACAACATTCGAAAAAGAAATAACACAACAAGAAAATTATGAAACACTATTCTTCAGAAATATAGAAGTAAAAATCTCAAATCTCAAGTCAATTAAGTAAGGTTTATGTCTGAAATGAAAGGCTCATTCAACATTTCAAAATCAATAAACATCAGATTAAAGGAAAAAAGTCTCGAAGAAAATATACACATAAGATAGTTAAGATGTTTACACTACTAATTTCTATTAGTTCATTGAAAGGAACAGTTTATGCTTATTTTGTTTGATCAATTTTGCATGTCTATATCTTGTAATCTGAGTAACTACTTTGACGATGACAATACTCAATATAATAACCATTGGTAATTTCTTATTATCTTCTTTGGAAATTCTGTATTATTGTTTCTATTGTTTTCTCCTCTTTAAAATAAGAAAGGGAAAAAAGTCTTAATACTTACAAAAACATTTGACAAAGCTTAAATTTATTTTCTCTTCATTTATGTTTAACCTATAATAGTAGGTACACATAAATAAAATCTGCCCCAGGGGGCTGGGGATTTAGTTCAGCGGCACAGCACCTGCCTGGTAAGCGCAAGTCGTGAGTTCGATTCCCAGTACCAGAAAAAAAAAAATCAAGAAACAAACAACAACAACAACAAAAGAATCTGCTCCAAAGAGCATACATTAAGAAAATAAGAACTTTTACAAATATTTTAATACTAAATTTATTGAGGCATAATGAGCTTAATACAAGTTACCTTTGACCCCTACAATTATGAGAAGTGCTCAGAGTGGAGGTCATTAGCTTCTAGACATTGATTAGTATGACAAGTTGCTGAAGTGTATATACACTTTTTGGTGGATGATATGCAGCTCTTAGCAAACTAAGAATATAGGAGACACACTCCACCTTGATATGGAATGTCTATAAAACACTTCTAATAACATCGGGCTTAGTATTGGAGGATGAAAGCTTTCCTCCTATGATCAAAAATGACACAGGTGTTTTTTCTATCATTGCTTCTTTTTGACATGGCCCTGAAGGCTCTCACAGTACAAGAAAACAGAATCAAGGGGATTGGAAAGGGGAAGATGTAAAGCAATCTCTATTTGCAGACACTGTGACTGGCTATGTGGAAAGAAAGAATTGACAAAAATGCCACTAAAACTAAAAAAGTGTATTTAGCAAAGTTGCAAAATACAAGCTTAACAGATGAAAAGCAATTCTGTGTCTATGTTCTGCACTCACAGTACAACTGGAAGATGAAATTCAACTGAATTCTTTCTAATGCTTCTAAATCACAAAACATTTATGTATATAACTAACAAAACTATACAAATTATAAATGCTTAAAACTATGCTGTTTTGCTCAAAGTGACCCAAATAAATGAAATTTATTTTGCTCATGTATTAGAAGTTGATTCTTTCCAAAATGTTCTATTGATTCAACTTCATTCTGGTCACAATTTTAATCTGATTTTCTTTTAGAAACTGACAAAGTGAGTTTAGGAGTAGAATTGCTAGGTCATATAGTAACTCATCTTTCATTCCATTTAAATAGGAAGAGAGAGGTGTAGAATATCCAATTCAATCTTCCAAAACAAAGCAAAAACTGCCAAAACAAAAACAAAGTCAGAAGAGTCTTCCTAGGTGATACCAAGAAGTCTATCTGGGTGCAGTCAGTGGTGGACGCTTGTAATTCCAGCAGTCAGTAGGCGGAGGTAAGAGGAGCAGCAGAAATTCAAGGGCAGCCAAGACTCAATAGTGAGTGGAACACCAGCCTGAACTACATAGTGAGACCCTGTCCACACCCCAAAAAAGCAATAACAAAAATCCCAAAGACTTCATAAACTTCATTATAGAGTAATACATCAGAGAAAGAATAGGTATGTTGGTAAAATAAAATGGAATCCAGGACCACATTCATAACCACATGGGCAATTCACTTTCAGTGAAAGGGAACAAGAACCCAATAGAGAAAAGATATTCTTTTTATTATATTTTATTTTTTTTATTTTAAAGAATAAAAGAAGGATAACATAATAATAGGGGAGACTTAGCAAATTACAGACAAAATGATAGGAAATTATCAATGGTTATCGTTTTACATATTATTATCTACAAAATAGTTTCTCAGGAAAACAAATAGACAAATAATAGTGAGTTAGAGACAAAAGAGGTAGGAGATTATCAAGAGTTGTTGTGCTATACTTTGGTATCTTCAAAGTGGCTTCTAAAGAAAATCAATAGAGCTATACATGAGTGACCTATTGAAAAATCATTAACTATTCTCAATGGTTGTTGTAGGAAACACATAATAATAAACATACATTATGAAATAGGATAGGAACATTACAAACTTAACACAGTTATGGATAGATTAGTAGGAAAATATCAATGGCTGCTGTAATACGTGGTGGTATCTTCAACGTGGTTTCTCAGGAAGACAGAGATATGCAAGAAGGATCTAATAAGTAGTTACAGCCTAAGGGTTGTCAAAAATAGCATATTACCTCCTCACCAGTGACTCCTTTCACTGAGGTATGATGGCTGGAAGGAAGGCCAGGATTGAAAAGAAGGACCGAGAGACTTGCACCTGTGTCTAGCAACAGGCTGTTTTCTTGTTCCTCCATAGTCATGATTACACAGGACTCCTCGATGGAGATGATGGTCTGGCCAGAGGGAGAAGGCAGAGCATGCCCCAAGCCCTCTCATTTCTGTTGGAGTAACTGGTAGCATGGGTCTGAGCTCTGGGGCCTTCACCTCAGAGGGCAGACCGATCTTCAGTGGTCTCCTTTGCATCCAGGGCATGGCCCATGGGGCCTCTTAGGGCAGTTCCTCTTGAGGTGGCCTGGCTTTTAACAATGGTAGCAGATGAATGCAGTTGTCGAGTTCTTCTTGGAGCCCTGGGAAGATATTCTTTTTAACACATGATGTGAAACATTTGGATATTCACATGCAAAATGAAGAAGAGCAAAAAACAAATCTTGAACTATCCCTTGAACATTGCATAAAAATTAGCCATAACTGAATCATACATCTAAATATAAAAATTTTCAGCTCTAAAATGTTTGGAAGAAAATTATAGAGAAAATTCTTTCTATTATTAGGTTAGACAAACATTTGATACATATGACACCAAAGACATAATACACAAACATAAAGACACTGCTTTGAAAAAGGCATAGAAAAACCAAAGATGGGAAAAATTCACATATCTGAGAAGGTATTTGTAGCTGGAATATACACTTATTTTCAAAATTAAATAGAAATACAACCTAATTTTCAGAAGACAGCAAAGTTTGGAACAGATACTCCATCAAGGTAGAAATGTAGATAACAAATATATGAAAGTACTCTACACCCTTCTCTATAAGGAGAATAAAAGTTAAAGTCATAATGAAATATCTTAACCCATCTATCAGAAAGGATAAAATTAGAAGAAATAAATAACATAAAACAATAGCAGTCAGAGAAACTGAAACCCTCAGAATTGGTGAAAACGTAAAATAGCAAAACAACTGGAAGTGTCTTATAAAATGTAGCATATATTTGAATTGTACAACCCAGCAATCTCATTCTTGGGCAAACACCCAAGTGAAATCAATACTTACATTCTCATAGCAACCACACTTTTATATTTATACTGAATTTGCTGTTAGTAGCCCCCAAATGAAAAGAATCCAGAGGTCCCCTAACTAGTGAATGGCAAAATCAAACAACCAACCATGATAATCTGTGTAATAAAATACTGCTCAGCACCATTAAGAATGGACTATTGACACATGCAACTGTGTGAATGATCATCACATTCCTCTAAATGATAGGACCCAGATCCAAAATGTTGCATACTGTACAATTCTAACTTCACTTTCCTGATATTCTGAAAAAATGTGAAATTAGAGTGCGAACAGGAAAGAGATTAGTAGTTGTTAAGTGATGAGCTGGAAGAAAGGGGATGAGGGAAGTTTTTGAAGGGACAATTGTTTTTAAAGCAAAAATATAGTTATTGATATAAACTTTTGTATGTTTGATAAGACTTACCAAAATGTCACAGTTAAAGGAGAATTTTAAACTGTGTATAAAACATACCTTAATATTTTACTGTGTGTAAATTAGAACCTAATAAAGGGAAAGGAAAAATGTGCACAGCAGTCTTATGGATGGTGGTGGTGGTGGGAGTGGTTAGAAAACAGAGCAGATAGGGGCTTCTGTTTGCATGCCGGTTACACAGCTGACTGAATGATCTTGAATACTTCTTTTGGCCTCTCCTGTGCCCAAATTTTTGCATTTCCAAAAAGAAGGCTGAATGAGGTAATGACTACACACTGTGATAAAGAAAATTTTCTCTTCTCTCTCCTCTCCTCTCCCCTCTTCCCCTCGTCCTCCCATCCTCTCTTCTTCTCATTCCCTCGCCCCCACCATGGTATTGGAGACAAAGGCCTTTGTCCTGAGCTACATTCTTAGCCCTAATTTATATATACATTTAACTATATATTCTATGTGTTTAACTATTTATTTTGCTAAATCACCTAGGCTGGCCTTGAACTTGTGATCTTCCTGCCTCAGCCTCCCTGAGTTCTGGGATGACAAGCATGGGTTACCACACCTGGTTAAGAGGTGATTTATTTTTTAAATTTATTTTTACTAATGTATATTTGTGATACACCATAGCTGTATTTGTTTTGGAGAATGGTACATGCGTATAGTGTATCTAAATCATGTTCAATTCCATCACATCCCCTCCCTCCATTCTGCTCTGCCTTTACCCGATTCCCTTCCCATCTCCAACAAGTCTGCCTTTTAGCTACCCACTCTCTCTTTTATTTTACTCCTTTATTTAGTGTCTTACATTGCTTTCTGTCCCTTCAGTCTTTGAGTGCAGTTACTTTCTCTGAGGTTTGGCTGGGCGCGTGCCCTGACAGAGACCAGCATAGCAATGAGGTGAGCGGTGGATGACGCCAGCCAGCACTTCTGTTCATCCCCTGCGTCCTTCACCAGGCTGTTTACACTGAGTAATGCAGAACCTGAGCATGAATTTAAAGTACAAAGCAAAACAAAACAAACTCCAAATATGTTTCTTTTACATCAGGCACTCTGTTTCCTCTGTCTGTCTCAATGCAATAGCTCAAAAGAATTTAGGAAGACTAGGTTCCAATCTTCAGGCCCATTCTCATGTGGGAACTCATACAATCCTCATTATTGCCTCACCCTGAAATGTAGGTCAGGTGAGGGTAATTATCCCTATTCTATAAATTATTAAAAGGAAAAACATCTAACAACAACAATGGCAAAATAAACTAAGGTGTGAACATTTTTTTTCACCAATGTCAATCTACTATTAAAAGAGTTAGGACTTTACTCATTTCCATCTGACGCTAAAACTAGTAATAAGAGTACATTGAACTAGTTCTAGTCTGAAATATGAGAGCCTGGTCACTGTTCAAGTGTTTATTTAGCATTTCTTCTTTACTTAGGTATTGCGGGGAGCTAATCCACAAGGCACCAGGAACCATGCTATTTGTGGGACTCAATGGGAGGCTAGACAGCCTGATCCACACTGCCAGGGAACCTGAGATTTCACAGAGGAGGAAAGAAAATTCATCAAGGAATTGCAGTTCAAGGTCATCACTACTGCAGTAGAAGGTTACTGGTACATAAAGAAAGGCTCAAGAAATCTTCCCACAGGAGAGGTTTACTGTGCTCAAATCTAAAAGATAAGTTTGAGCTAGACAGAGATTTGCAGGTAAGGAGACACAAGTAGATGGCAAATCTCAGGACTTTAAAGTGTAGTATCACCAAGTAGAATGCACAAAGGCTACTCTGTGCCTGAGATATGTGAATCTTGTGACTGCAACAACTCCATGCGGCAGACCCACTGCCATCCTGGCATCAGGAGGTATGGGACTACCCGGTCTGAGGTTGTTGAGGTGGACTTCATTGAGGTCAAGCCAACAACTAGAAATCAAAAGGACCTGCTAGTCCTGATTTGCACCTACTCAGGTTGGCTGGAGGCTGCCCGACTAGGACTGAAACTTTGAGAGAGGTAACTAAGGCCTTTTGTTGAGTTGATCATCTCCTGATATGGACTTCCCATGACTGCTGGGTCAGATAATGGGCTGGCATTTGTGGGTAAAGTAGTCCAGGAGCTGGTCTTGGCTCTAGGGGAAATTCCACATGGCTTCCTGGCCCTAGAGCTCTGGGCAGGTAGACAGATAGAATCACACCTTGAAGTCCACCTCATCTAAGCTTTGCCAGGAGACAGGTACTATTTGCACCACTGTACTGCCTATGGCCCTCCTCCTGTCCTGATGCACACCATACCAAGATGGTCTCATGCTCTTTGAGATAATGATTGGACAGCCTTCTCCATTGATGTCTGTAATAAAAGCACTTCAAGGAGCTGGCTCAATCGACCTCTGTTGCCAACTGAAGGAACTTCAGTGGGTCATCGAGAAGCTATGGCAAACCATCCTAGCACATCACCCAACCCTTTTGCACACACCCTTGCATCCTTTCCAGCCTGGGGACTAAGTTTTGGTTAGGGGATGGATGGATGAGCCTATGCAGCCTAAGTGGAGGGTGCCTATGAAGTCATACTAACCACCCCCTCTTAAAGTTTCAGG